CAAGCCTAAGCCTGAGCCTAAGCCTAAGCCTGAGACTAAGCCGAAGCCTGAGCCTAAGCCTAAGCCTGAAACCAAACGAAAGCCTGAGCCTAAGCCTAAACCAAGCCTAAGCCTAAGCGTGAACCAAGCCTAAGCCTAAAGTGAATTTTAAATCAAACATCTCGATAACATTTGTGAAAGTGAATATGACATCAGCTGTTCACTGGTCTAGAAAAAAGTATACATTGCCTGTAATAAACACTGATATGCAATTCATTGCCCGAAGTGTACACGTCTTTTTGAGGGTCACATCACATTTCCAAATAGCAAGACTGTATACATACAATCTCATGATAGTGCCCGTTATGTCGCGCTGTTTTCTAATCAAATGGTCTACTTACAGCTTTTACATTATATATATTATATTGTATGTACAGAAAATGCTTCATTTTTTGATACCAGTTTCCTTCTGTATTAGTCTCCTATTTACCGTATGTCGGGGATCTGTACTCGGCAAACTTTGGAGGTCTTTGGTCGACGTTTAATGGTGACTGGCTGCGTAGGCTTTGTCCACATTGCTGGAATGGGTGTTGGGAAGTAAAAGAGGCGTGCTTCGCCAAACATCTGTAGCATTGACCTCTCTTGAGCCGTTTCCACGGTTTGCTCGATCTGAAGCGTTCAGGTAATACGTCGTGTATGACTCCTCCGTTTAGGGTGAAACAAATGGAGATCAGTACTCACCACAGCCTGGCAGTCTCCTCTCGAATCATCATATATGATGCAGTTGCCATAGCGCTTTTTCTCAACAGCCTCGATTTTCCTGCCTAACAATACTAAAGCTGTTTCTTTTTGTTTGCTGCGCGATCTTGTTCTACCCTGTTCTTGTTTCAGCGCCAACACTACGGGGTTTCCCTTTTCGTACGCATCTGTGTACGCAACACACAACAGTTGAAGTAAAGCATTCGCGTTTTGCGTATGTTTAAATCGTCTTGCGGTGCAGGAGCCATCCTGAAATGTGTCACTTAGTTGTATATACCACATAACTATTTCGCAGCCATTTGATAATCTCATCACTGACCTCATCGCCTAAGAACATTAGCCGACTGCGACGATATGCATGCCCACATCCGAAACAGAGCTCGAAGGCACAGGAACTACGAGTCCGAGTACGCGAGTCTTTACATTCAATGAATAGAAAACATTGCGCGCAGTGAAAATGTGCCGCACGTCGATCATTCCATCCCTTGGGAATAAGGCCATTTGCTGGGAATAAGAGTCGTCGTTCAGGTGGCACCGGCTTATTTCGGTAGGTATTTCGAAAATCGTATGAGAAGTTTTTCGATTGACACTGTAATGTATATTTTGACAATATTGTCTTGGGGCTCAATAATTTTGAATATGACTGTGCTGGCTTCCTTATCAGTTACTAGTTTCTCTACTGCAATCTGAACACAAGCATTCCATGGGCTTTGCTGTTGTATGTTCATAAGAGCTTGCCGTAGTTCCACAAAAGCTGTGTACCACTCTTAACGAACAGATAGTCATGTATATGCAAGTGGTGAAGCCTACTTTTGAATGTGAAAGAGATTAGCTGCGCTTCTACTTCTATGTTCCGTGTGGCCCTGAACAGGACTATGAACTCCATCTGTTTACCCTGGTCTGTCGAGAAGGAACGGTTTGGATGTTCAGTGACCATATTTGGATGCTTACTGCTGTGGTTGAACAGCCGTCCTAGCGTCACTGCACCTTATATATAGGATCATGGCGCGATTATCGTGAATAGGTTTGCGTCTTTTTTGCTTATTGTGTTTATAGGCCAAGATAGCTTGAATCCGGAATTTGAAGCTGCGACCCAGGAGGAGCTGGACGTGCACCATAAGAAGAAATTCGTATTACCATGGTATTCCACTTCATAGTCGCCAAATAGTTCAAATTCTGCAGAGATCATATTTATACTGCATGCGACTTGCTTCCTTTAACGTAACGTACAAGCCTCTGAAAAGGGATTCTTTTCATTTGGGGTGGCTTTTGCCTGTGAGATCATTGGGTTTACCTGTAATCACACACGATTTGATTCTTCAAAATGCGAGTTTTTGCAAACACTCCCTCTTCCATTGATGCTAGGAATGTCACGCACTTGAAGCCATGGGAAATCCTTAACATCAGTCTGTGTATTCCATATGTGTGCACTAGATTGTATTGAGTTTGCCCATAAGAGACGGCGTTTCTACCCCACTCAAAATATCATGCTCAAAATGAAAAATTTGGCACTGAATTTCATGATGATTTGCACAGAATCCCTTGCCATTTCGACAGTCCTCTCGGTTTCTTATTAGTTTCTCTTTAATATGACAGGAGTGAAAGAATGAGTACCATCTTAGGTTTACTAACTTACATTGTATGTCGGGCTATGCTTCGATCGGCAAATCTCTTCCAAGTTTCTGACCATGTTTTCAGTGAATCGTACCGTTCATGCTCCAGGCGCGCTACACTACGTCGTGACTGAATAGTATAGCTTATACAGCTACAACAATAATATACCTAGGAAAACCAACCAAGTTACAGCTTATATTCAAGCTACGACATCCAACCATTACAAAAAATTGTTTCATGTGATGACGTGCATTTTCTGGCGTCATACTGCGTCCGTTCCATTGTATAAAGAAGGGTTTCAATGTTGCTGTGGCATCACGTACGTTGTTTTTAACGGCAAACGCTGGATTTGAGTACACATGATAAAATGTATTAAGAGGAACAGATTACAGATTTTTCATACAATTCACGCAATTTCACGTAGTAATCGAGCCATTTCTTGGACTTCTTGTCGACAACAAAATAACCTCCACATCTACTACTCGGCTGACGTACTGTATTGTTGTGCTTTGGCTGTGGATAATTTCCTACCTATGATAATTTCATGATTTTTTAAAACTATTTAAATATTTGACTTTTTCACATAGCTTTTTAGCATTCACCCAAAACTGTTCTGCTGTCAGAATACCTCCATTTGTTACAGGTACAAGTCCACCGGTTCCTTCACTACTTGTGCAAACATTTCCATAGCGCGTTTTGTACGTAAGCTCATTCCGGGCCGCATTGCAGTGCACCAAGTACGCCATGACAGCACTGCAAATTGATCGTTCTCGTTGAAGGTTACTGTCATTGGGATCGATTCTCAGTTCTCCTATTTCGTACCTCATAACGTAGTTGTAATCTGCACATGTTGTTGAACCTTTTCTGTCAAACATTTTCATCTTGTATTCTATCGACTGGCTGATTCGTTTACAATTGACTATAGTCCATAGTCCTGACAACGCAATACCGCTCCAGGTCCTAGAATGTAGAAAAACTTCCAGCACCTCGCCTCCTCTTTCGTTAGTCTTACCTGTGCTCTACTTTCGGCTGAGAGCCCACTGAACGTGCGCAGTGTTTTCTTCTCACTATTTGCTTTTTCAACCTCGTCTTCAGCACGTTCTACAGCTTGATTTATTGCAGAAATTCTATCATTCCCGGCTGCTGCAAAAATAGAGTTCAACTGTTGGAAAGGAAACCTTACATTCTGCTTACAGAGCGTTCACTTTATACAAACTGCAAACCTGGCCCAATACTCTTCCGTAAGAATCTGTAGAAAGATAGCACTGCTTTCGCAAACAATGACCTCACACCTATCGCCACGTGCACATTCTGTAGTCTGCGGAAGAACTCATTCACGATCTCGCAAGAGTAGATAGCGTCGTCTATCGAAACAATCCACCGAATCTGAGCAGCTAAGCTCTCAAAACAGAAATGCATTGTGTGTTACACTCATGTCAGTCACCTCTTCCTTGAACGCATCGCAACGAGCATGAATCGTTCAACGTTACTCGCATAACATTTCCGTGTATGACGAGTTTCGTCGTATACTTGCACAGCGTCGTGTACACGTACGGGAACTGACTGTAAATTTGTTGTTGTTTCCTGTATCTCTGAACTACCTGCTCCGAATCTCTTACTGTTGTTCTCTTCAGATTATTGGCGTAACTTCGCAGTATTGGATGTTGGTCCTGGATTAATTTTCTCCATAGTTTCAATTGTCTATCCACATCGTTCATCCATTCTTAATAGCTTTCATCATAAAAGAAAACTAATCAAAAAGTACACAACTTCGAAAAGAGACAAATCCTGGGTACTGGCTAAGAAGTACTCACTCAGACTACGATGGCTGTGAATAGGAACGGAAAATGATTGTACGAAATACGGCTGCTCCCTGCCTTCCTCACTCCAGTCATCATACTCATGAGCGAACATGAGCGATTTGTCGGGCGCTTCTATGAATATGGGATGAGGGTTTGTGCCACCTGAATTTTCACATACGTTGTACTTTTTGCGGTGTATTTGTTAGTTTAACCTCGATATTCATCGTCTTCTGCAAGGTTGACTTGTAAGCATAGCCGGCTTCGATGTATGGGGACTGCTCTCCTTGTTGGAGGTCGGCGTTCCTAGACTGAATTTTGTCATGCAGTCCCTAGTACTTTTATTGGCTTTTACCTGATCCATGGACCTCACATCTTCTTGTACAACTTCTGCCTGTATTGCTATAGCTGGCAATCCAGGCGGCTCAACTGCTCTTTCAATGGCCTCACGTTGTATTGCAGGTTGTTCTGCTCGCTCGAAGTGTCGCTATATGATGTTTAAAAATGAAATAAAAAACTGAGTGGAAGCGACTATGTCCAGCTCTTACTTCATTTAGCAATGGAATACCGCATTCGCGTAACCGAAGCACGAAGGCACTATAGATTAACCACTCTCCAGGCTGGAGTGGTGTAGGGATTGTGGAGAGGTCCACCGAAGCGCTTGTCATTCTATTTAGAATTCCTCGTCCAACTTGTCCACACACCTGGAATTTGTATGCTTATGCTAGGAAACGATACGAAAAATGAATACGCCTCCCTACGCACTTCGTATAGAGCGTCTTCCTTTGAAATATTGTGCTCTTTGCTCAAATGTTTGTCGAGGCGGAATCTTTCGTGCTTTCCACAAACAACGCAAAACCTGGTTTCATCCTGCCCAGCAGCCGGGTAATACACGGCTGAAATGGAAACATTTTCACCGTGAAACAGCAGCAATTAACGGAACATCAACACTGTAGTAGATTGCTATACATACCGTCATTCAGCTCTACGGGTAACGCGGCTATTCTTCCATCGCGCTGCATTTCCGGAAGGAGGTTTTTAGCCTTGTCACCAATTCGTCGTATAATTGCTCTCCGCTCAGCCGCTCTTGCCACATTCTGGCTGCCAGCATCATGGGAGGAACTTTCTTCTGCGCCTTCCATTGCTTGAATCCTAATGCACACTGTCCCTCTCTGTCGTGGAAAGTTGTCAAAACTTGGTGCAATATCAATACAACAACCACAACACGTATACTCGGAACTTGCCTTATTCACCAATCAATGAATCAAGTCAGGGTAAAGCTTTATTATCGTACCGATTGGTAAGCGGTACACGTCTAAATAATATCTTCACAAATGCGCATCATCTACATCACTTCTTGTCTCCGTGTCTTTCGCTCTCTTTCCATGCCTCATGATTGCAATGCCATGGTCCAAAGCTAGCGTTACTGTTTCTGCATTTGATCTTTTCATTGTTCACGTTCGATCTGATTCCTTGTGAACGGGGAACTGGGTGAATTTCACGACACCGTTTCCTAATTCATTTGAGTTCCGCTTATGCAATTAGTGACATTGGAAAATCACCTATACGGCCATTATGACGCATGAAAATACGACGTGCAAGGTGCATACAAAGTGGAAGAGTATGAGAAGAGAACAAAAATTGGTAGGAAAAAATGTAAATGAATAATAAACTTCTGCATACCTCACAGTGGTGATCGTCTGCTTCTCTCAGAACACCACATGAAGCTCAGGCTGAATTCCTACTCAAAATCCATACAAACGAACACCACCATGTGACTCATCCGCATAATTTGTGGCCTCAACAGAAAGACATGTGGACGAAGGTTTTACCACATAGTAATTTATGCCACCATTGGTACTTACTCTCATTCTCTCGTTCTCCGAGGATAGCTTTCTGTCCTTCCGCTTTCGGAAGAAGAGTTGCCATCTTATATTCGCCTTCTCTTGCCATGTCCTCACTAACATTTCGGAAAGGAGTTTGTTCTACTTGCTGCATTGCTTAAATCCCACTCGCATGCCATTTCATAGCATTTCAGCAAAATCAAAGTTATAGAGAGCATTAGGCACTGCTAATGCATCACAATGATGGCATGTATACATGGGACACGTTAACTCCGACATTCAAGACAGAAACTCAGTGAAACATTTTATTTAGCATATACAGGTGGCACAGGTGGTGCCGTAGCAACAGGGAATCGGTACGTATCGATAAAACTCCTCCACTGAACCAAATCATCCAACACTTTTTGTGTACTTTTGATTTCTTTGCAATCTCTTCTCCTTTTCAATGCTTCCGAGATCATGAACGCTATGCTCAAAGCTTGTCCAGCACTCAGCATGCACAACCATAACCATGGTGACCTCACGTTAAGCAGGTCCATCCATGTTTGAGATGCTACGTGTCGAGGGATGGAATCCGTTGGGTAATTCGGTGCTGCGTCCTGATTTATTATAGTGTTCGAAACACAGCCAGTTAGGCGTAAAATACTTTATCGCTTACCGGTATTACGAAGTGTAGGTCTGCGCCGAGTGATCCCTGAACAATGCGTGAGTGGATGTTCATTTGCCCAATCATCAGCACTTTTCCTTTTGGAATTTCCACGGCGAACGTCGGCTTTCGAATGACAATCGTTTCTCGTTCTTGCAGACTGT